CCATATATTTATTGTGTTACAGATTGTTAGTTGTTTTGCTACACTGTCTGAGTCCCTTGTTGCTGGTCCTTTTAAGCCGATCATTTGATTGTTAGTATCCAGATGGTAAACATTGGTGTTGATGACAGTCTACAGTAGCCTGTTGAAAAGGCCTCTGGTTACGTGAACTCCCAGTGTGTCTGAAGCATGTAAATCGCTGACTTGATATTATTGTTAAAATTTCGAGTAAATGAGGAAATAGAAACAAATAGTTCAGCGAAGCGGCTCTTTTCTGCAAATTCATTCTCGGTAGCTGTACAAGCACATTTACATACACTGTTTACACAAATGAGGATATTAACAAAAGTAGTGAGTTGCCATAATCATGGTTGTAAGTATCAATCAATACACAGGATCAGTTGAGTAAGAGTGTTAGACTTACGTAACAGGCTAAATAATTTAATCAGTGAGTTTTAGTCAGGAAGCACATTGAAACGAGGTGAAATGTGATACGACGTAAAATTTCGATAGAATATAACATTTCTAAAGAGTTACAGTTGGCTGCCTATTGAACGCAAACAAAATTTAATTCAATGTTTTGCCTCTCGCACGCCACTTATCCGAAATCCAGATGATTTAGAGAAGAAATTAGAACTTCTGAAAGAAATCTCCATCCAAAATGGATATCTACTGAGGTTTATTGACACGAACATCAAACTGAATGTTCAGAGAAATGGGCAATTGTTTGTACCATAAAACAAACCTTAGATGAGCCCTGATTTAGGGGAAGACTTAACCTGTAATGTCTTTAAGAGAAGAATTTCGACGTCTTTGGGAGGAAAATTCTTCGCTAAAACGCTTTGAGTAGTGTTCTCTAGTCGTTCACGGATCTTCAGAAGCCTGAAAGAAAAGATCTGGCGTCTGATCACTTCTATGAGCAGGTATCAGTTCACCACTTCTTGTGGAGCCAAGTATGTCGGTCGTTCGACGCGCATTCTTTGTAAAAGGTTTCAATAACACTACACTTCATGGTTGTGGAAAGGTAGTAGTGGGTGTGTGAGAAGTGCGATAGCCGAACTCTTTGCAGACGGTAACCACTACGTCTCAACTAGTCTCAACTCCTGTATTTCATTCGAAATCTTGCGTAATATCACATTTCACCTCGTTTCGATGTGCTTCCTGATTAAAAGTCACTAATTAGGCCATTTACCCTGATACCTAACTGTAGTACTCTTACTCAACTTATCTTGTGTACTAATTGATACTTACAACTTTTGTTATTATCCTCATTTGTGTGAACACTGTATGTAAATGTGCTTGTACAGCTACCGAGAATGAATTTGCAGAAAAAGCCGCTTCGCAGGAGTACTTGCTTACTTTTTTGTCAATAATGCTTGGATAGAACCATTAATGGATTAAAAATTCGTGATGTTGTTTCTTGCGGTGGGTACTACATATCCCTACATCGATTTCAGAGTAATAAAAGCCTATCTTGTTTTTGCCATCCTGGTTGGATTTGATGTCGTCATCTGTACTGCCTGTAGTTGTGCCAGTGGGGTAAGTATACTCATGACATGGAGTCCCATGCTGACGGGTCGACAACAGTGATGTTTCAATAACTATCTGTTCCTCACCAGCACCAACTCCAAACGAGCCTGGTAATCGACACTGCCAAATGAACAATGAGCTCAAATGGATCACGCACCTATAAACTGTTGATGGAGGCGATCGTCAGTAGACAGCCGCTCTTTTTGGAACACCTGCATAGACTCCGATCACAGTGTAACTCTTGCATGCAAATATCTGCGACTGGATGGACATAAGAAGGAGGTCGGTATGAAACACTACTAAACTTAGTGTCTAAAATTCTAGGTTCGATAGTCATGCGTAGACTAAGCGGTACCCCAGAGAAAAAAAACCGTTAAAACCAGTCAGGGTTCAGGACAAGAGGGGGTATTTGGATTATATCTTCAACATTCAATACAATCTGAAATATAGACATACTTAAGGGCGTCCAACACTTGCCATATTTTCAGACCTCTGTTGATTAAAAGGTTCTTTGACAATGTTAAGAATGTGGTAACTTGAACTGTTACACTTTTGTACAAAATTGCACCTTGAGAACTAACTTGGTCCCCAAATAAAGTCAATGGGATTACTTCCTTTAGATTCCTGCTGTTGATGATTGTTTCTTCTTAGTCAGTCATCTTCATCATCTGAAGTTCTGTCTTCTCTGTTTTTTTTTCGCCAACTTGTTCGTTTTCGCTATAAATACTGGAGTTTATGCTACATGAGAGATAGTTCATCCGTACATTCCAGATCTTATAGGGTCTCTTCACTATCCGTATGTCTGTCCTCTCGTTCCCCGAGGTTTGAGCATGATCCAGTTGGTGATGGTAGGAAACCGTGTTCTACTGCCGTCTTAACTATAATCGCTTCATTGAGGTCTCCACTGTAAAGCTTTTGGCATGCAATATCATCAGATAACTGTCAAATGAGTTATATGAATAATAGAGGCAGTATACTCCGTACTGGTGAAGTAGTTGTGAAATGACATCGCGGTTGACATAGCCGAACGCTCTCTAAAAGTTGATATATGTCAGGTGCAAATATTTCTTGGTTAAGTGGATGAAAAAAGAGATTATCAGCCTAAAACCAAATATTAATAAAACTATACCTATGACTAAAATTCGCACTATCAACCACCTTAATATCATGTTTCAGTTAAGATAATTTGTGAATGCACCAATACTATTTCAGCCAATTCTGAGCCATTCTACTTAATTTCATCAATAGCAGGTAAAATCCAGTCAAGTAAAGCAAATCTGTCTACGTGACACAGTTCAGAAGTCAGTCACTCTAACAAAATTAGTGTCATTTCCTTCACATCAAATCTCCACACTGCTCGAATGATTACTCCGATAGTACAACGAAAACAATTCAATCGAAAGCTTATGCTCTGCGTCAATTATCCTTTAATGGATATGACATCCAAAATACACAATTAGTCAAATAGCACTATTTTAAATTACACTATAAACTTAATAAAAATTTGTATATTCTTCCTACGGTACATATTTTGTCATTTTTCAAAAGTTAAATGACTTTTGTGTACTAGCAATGTTAGGCTTACATTTGAAGGCGATTGTTTCCTTCAGGTTGATAATGTTGCTATAGGAAATCCGTTAGGTCCCCTATTAGCAGATATCTGTATGTCGTACGTTAAGACTTTATCGGAGGATTTAATCAAATGAATGAAGTTCAGAATAGCAAATTATTTACGTCTGTAGAATAAGGAAGATAATTGTTTGCCTTTCCTAGACAAATTGCTTAGCCGACGGCTTGATAGGACAATAAAACGATCTCTTTGCAGAAAACCTACGTGGACAGGACAGTATCTTAATTATCGTAGTTTCTGCCCAGCTCGGTACTTTAGAGCCTTAGTAAGGTCCCTCTTTAGTAGAATCGAGCGAATCTGCACTAAAGACACACTTGGTGAGGAAGAAAGAAAGTTGGCACACACTCTGGTTGATAAAAGTTACCCAAACAAGCTCATCGGGATATATAAAGTAGTCAGGACACCAAGACCCACTGTCCAACTGGCCACTAAGAAAGACGTGTACATCAAGCTACCCTTTTTGGGGCATCCTAGCGGATGGATAACTAGACAAAGATTGAGTGATGATGTAAAAAGACTTTTTATGCAGCTAATACTATGATAATTGAGAACATGAAGCCAATATATCCATTTAAGCCCTTAGAATAAACGAAAAGTAGTGTCACATCCAAATGTATTTACGGCTTTCAATGTACGTATGCCTACACGTTCATAGGGAGGACTCATCGATCTCTGCAAATAAGGACTTCAGAAGCTAAAAGAAGCTTCGGTACCCATTAATGGCGAGAGCAGACAACCTAGTTCCTCTATTGCGAAACATATTATAGAGACAGGACATAAAATTGATGTTTATGTGTCTTTTAAACCTATATATAAAATGTTTTTGTGCAAGTATTGGACAACTGTTTCATCCTAGTTCGGGAGTCGTTGGCGGTACGCACCCACTGGGGTTCGAACCTAGAACCTTCTGGTTAGAGGAAGAGCCATTAAGCCACCGGGACCCGATCCAGTGACCAGCCCATGAATTCCAATTTCCGCCAATTCCCGATATAGCCTGACCAAACCAGTAGTTGAATATCAACGATATGCTGAAAAGCGACTGGCCCTGTTCAGGTAGGTAGTTACCTGGGTTCTAGTGAGAAGCCGTGACCAATGGTGTACAGCAGGTTGGGTTTGTGGGCAATTACTCGCCAAAGACATTGCGAAATAGTCGCGCTATGTCATGAATTGGCAGAAGTTAGAATTCATGCACTAGCCACTGTATTGGGTCCCATTGGCCTAATGGTCTACGAGCTTGCCTTGTAACCAGAAGGTTTTAGGTTCGAACCTCCTGTTGGTGAGTGCGTACCATTGAAGAGTCCCAAACTAGGCTGACGAAACTGCTATCCAGTACTTCCGTGTGGTTTTCCAATGGCTCTGTAACTGGTATCACCTCATGATGAAATCCTGAAAACGGTTCTGCCCAAAACAATCATACTTGATGTGATCATAGTTTAAATTGGTGTAACTTTTTGCTGTTGACTCTTCAATCCACCAACTGTCATTTTAAAAGTCTTGTTGTGAATAGGGTAAGGTTTCTTCAGCGAACACCTCAAAGAAAGACAAAGAATATTTCAAATGACTGGTTCCCAGCAATTTTTCAGCTTGAAAATTTTCATTTATATATTCTTCTATTCGGGACTATGTGTCAATTTTTTTTAAAAACATCTACTGATTTGTAGCATTGGTTTTCCATGAGTAAGATTTTGAAATGAATTTATGGATGGATGAGATGCTCAGGGCGCTAACAAATAACAAGCGTGTAGTGTTGTTTCAAGTGTGTGTTTTGTACACAAATAGATAGAAATTAACATCACCTAAGTAGTTCTTCGTTCCTTTTTTTCCTCTTTAACTTTATCAATTTAGCACCAAGAACAATCCTATTCTCTGTTAAATCGTATCCGAGTTTTAGAAGATGAAATTAAAGAACTTGTACAATATAAATCAAATCATGAAGAGGTAAACTAAATCATTATATCTAGCTTATCATCATTAAGTTTATTGCATTTATAATTCTATATATTTATTAATGCCATTGTATTCTGTTATCTAGATGCTTTATAGTTGTGTTTTTCATTCTTCAGAGAACATAGCTACACCAATAACGTCTACTCAAGCTGAAAGTGTCCTCCATCACATCATTTACACATCTGGATGAGTTTTAAAGCCGAATGAGAGTTAATGCTTTTATTTTCATTAAAAATGTTAACCAAAAATTATCTGTCCATGTAGTTACATAATTTAGATTACATTTTGAGTTGAATTTTAAAGTATTAGTATGAGTAATTTTGATTACTGTTCTTTAACTCGAATTGTCAGAAATTGAAATTCATAGCGCATAGGATCAGGTTCCAGTGGTTGGATGTTCTATGTACTTGTCTTGTAATCTGAAGGTTCTGGGTTCCGTACTACTGAAGTGTCGCAAACTCGGCTGAAATAGCTGTCCAATACCTTTTGGTTTTTCAACGGTTCTCTAACTGATGTCAGCTCATGATCAAACCTGTACTATTCTTTTGTAAATAGGTTTTATCTGAAAGTCTTTTCACATCGTGTTTGATTAAATATTCTCAAGATACACGTATTATGATTATATGTGGAATTGTAAACATGTCTGTGACTATTGTTCACCAAGGAAAGTGGAGAATTTGCTGAAATTGTTTTCTTTTTCATTACTGAGATGCATATTTCATTGTATGTATTCACAATATCAGTTATTTTTTTTATTTTTTACCAATAAGAAAGTTATTTCAAACATTTTGGTCTGTCTATCGTCTACACTTTTCTTGTTCTAATTTCATCCCTTCGCCCAATTTTCTTGGCTTCCTGTCTATTTATCTCCATTCTCTCACGATGTTTTTTTGTTCATCATTGACTCTGTGACACAAACACACACACACACACGTAGACAGAGTGATGAAAACTTTGAGAAGTACTATTGATTGATTGTTCTATTTTATGATACAATTCTATTAAAATTTGAATGGAATTTGATTCGTTTGAAGATTTAAAAAGAAATTTTCATTTGATGAGTTGTAAAGATAGTTTTTACAGAGTTTCTTTCCGTTCTTTGTCTTCTTAATGGAGCATAGGGCTTTTAGCTTTGAACTTTCAGTAAAGGTAGTGGTTTGTGCATTTACAGGGTTAGGTTTCTAGGCTCACTGACAACCTTACTTTATTTCCAGGCTTACCACCAACTAGGGTGGAGTGGAGTGAACTTCGGGGTGCGTTAATCAAGAATGGAATTCTCACATCCCACATGGTTGATGAGTATCCTACCATTCAAGCATTGACTCAGTATTTATCAACTAAGAACTACATGTCCTTAGTAGAAATGTCTTACCCGACCTTTCAATAGTATGTCTTGGTTTCCGAATGAAACTAACTTGACTTAAATTTCTATTTTATGTAATGATTCCGTAAGTGTATAGATATGCTAAGAATTGACGGCTTAAACTTATGCATGATTTCCCTGAATGCATTTATTCCCTTTTAAACTCTTCGAAATCTTCAATAAATCTCATTTATTTATTGTTTTATTCATATCTATATATCTTTGTTATACTATCCTAAATGAAGCTTTTATTTTCATTTTTCATGTATTTCTTTCCAAGTATAACACCTTCAATGGGTGAGAGTTTTCTTATTTAATTTTTCGGTTAACTAGTAATTATATGTAGGTTTTCATTATGAGCTGATATCAGTTAGAGAACCACTGGAAAACCACACGGAAGTACTGGATAGCTATTTCGTCAGTCTAGCTTGGGACTCTTCAATGGTACGCACCCACCAACAGGAGGTTCGAACCCAGGACCTTCTAGTTGCAAGGCGAGCTTGTAGACCATTAAGCCACTGAGACCCAATCCAATGGCCAGTGCATGAATTCTAACTTCTGCCAATTCATGACATAGCCCGACCATTTCACAATGTCTTCCTCGATGAGTTACTGCTTGAGGCAGCTAACCTGGGTTCTAGTGGGAAGCCGTAACCAGTAGGGTACAGCAGATCGAAGATGAGGCAGTAACTCATCGAAGAAGACATTGTGAAATGGTCGGGCTATGTCATGAATTGGCAGAAGTTAGAATTCATGCACTGGCCATTGGATTGGGTCTCAGTGGCTTAATGGTCTACAAGCTCGCCTTGCAACTAGAAGGTCCTGGGTTCGAACCTCCTGTTGGTGGGTGCGTACCATTGAAGAGTCCCAAGCTAGACTGACGAAATAGCTATCCAGTACTTCTGTGTGGTTTTCCAGTGGTTCTCTAACTGATATCAGCTCATAATGAAAACCTCCGTGCAATCAAACAAAATCCCTACAAAACCAATACTTTAAAACTAGTAATTAGTGCAAGCCAAAGGGAAGTAAAATATAGTTTATGACGACAGTGAACACATGGCTGGAAAGTTGACTGCCTAAAACAGTTAGTTGCGTTTCCACAGTTTCATAAGGTCATGTTTCAGAATACGATTTAAGTAAGCAAATACGTATTTTCGGTAAATTTTCATCAGGCTTTAGAATCACGTAATAAATTATCAATTGTAGACCTATGAAACAATTCGGATCAATAGAGTCAAATATAATCGAAAGGAATGTAAGCAGAACAATAATAATACTAATATATGGAATAACTATTTTAAGATGGGGTTGAAGAATACAGGTGGGATATGGATTGACTTTACAGTTCGTTTTGCCTCACTTGGTTGAACAATGCTCAAGCTGAAATCTTAAAGTCAATCAGACCTTCCTTATTGGCGCACCTATTGGATACTGATCACAAGATTGATAAAAATTCCGTCTCCACAAGTCTATGCAAGGTGTTACACCGATTGCACCCTAAATGTGCACGCCTTTGATTACTAAGCTAAGAAAATTTTTCAGTCCAATCTTTGGTTCAGATAGCGTTCGTTCAAACTATCTCTCACCTCTGGCTTTCAACCCCTTTCTAGAATAGTTATCCCGGTTATTCGTATTCTGCTCACACTGTCTTCGATTATATTTGATTCTATTGATCCAAACTGTTTCAAATGTCTACGACTGATAATTTATTATGTAATTGTAAATCCTGTTGAGCATTTACCGAAAACAGGTATTTGTTTACTTAAGTCATGTTCTAAGAAATGACCTTATGAAACTATGGAAACGTGACCTACTTTTTTAAGCAGTCAACTCTTCAGCCACGTTTTCAATGTCATAAACTATAAATCCCTTGTGCGAGAACAGGCGGAGTGTATCTTAAGCTTTCATAAGCACACGTATAGGTTCCATATGTGTAATTAGGATTAACCACTCATGTATTTGTGAGTCCTGCATGTGAACCTTATTATCACTAACTGCTTAATATGCGTCGGTGACATAGCGGTTAGGACACCAGCCGACCATGCACATGGTCCGGGATTCAACCCCTGGCCGACTCACTCCTTTACCTCGCTAAGCTAGAAATAATTCTGGTAAAGAGGAAAGGTTGGGCATCCTGTAAAATAAACACTTCTACAGAAACTTCAAGTCACTAGCTTCAAGCACTATGTTCCCCTGGGGGACGTGAACTTAATGTGTATTCCTAAGTCCCACAAATATTTAGATTGTGTTTTTATTGGATTTCTGTGACTAAAACATTGATTGGCTGGGTAAGAATTCAAGTTTGTAAAATTTTTGTTTTGATTAAAAACATTCATCATTCTCTAGAGTTCATATTAAATTTAGTGTTTATTTATGCAAAAGTTAACCATGGTTCACGATGAAAGACTAATCAGTTTCAAAAGTATTAAACTCTTCTTAGTTGGAAGATTTCATCGCTGACGTAGAAATAAATCAAAGGCATAAACCAGTTGGATGTAGATAATAGCATGATGCAGACAATTTTGAACACTGGTTTTCGTAATCTGAGGTCGTTTTGGGTGTTTCTGATATAAGAATGGGATTTAGGCTCTGCAACAGAATATAATAACGTATTAGATAACTTTATCTGATGTAATTTGATGATGTAATAAACAGAAATATGAGGCAAAAGAAATATAAATATGGAAGGACAAGAATTTCATCGGATTTTATAAATCACAGAGAGTGAATGCATCTGCAACAGCCATTGAGAACGATTTTGAGACATATCACCAGTTGTCTCCAGCAGTCATCGGTTCTCAACATACCGAGAACCTCAACCAGACAGAAGTCTACGCCTACCCACATGGCTGTCTGGCTGGCCTAAACTGACTGTTGTGGATTTCATTGACTGATGAATCCATGTTTTGGTTTGACCGCCGCTGGCTCCTTTCCAGCCTGACCCTATGTCAGCTAACATTGCCCGTCAGTTGAGGGAGGCGATTGACGGCTAGGCATACATGCATAACACATGTCCTGACCATCTGACTCAATCGATGTAACTTCACAACCTCGTTGATTGTTTTCGCCTCCTACCTACCTAGCACTCGACCGATGCCTCACCTCAATATTCCTCACTTTAATACACCCCTTCACACGGGAAATGGAATGCAGACACCTATGATCAAAGACAGCTAGCTGGCCTTTTCATGTCTAACACATTCAATGATCACATCTCACTAACGGCCATAGAGGAGGACAGAGCAAACTTCTGAGCAGTTTACACGTCCTTTGATAGATAGCCAGCTGGATATCACGTCCAATAAGTCAGAGATGGCATACACTGGTATACGCAAAATGAGCCTTCTGTTTCCGCGCTGAGACTTCGTCAACCACCAACCCGTCGCAAATCTCCAATTAAGTGAAGGGGTCAGCACGCTCCACCAGCCCTCGTTCACTCCCTATCTTTAAGCTAGGAGTAGTCGACGTAGTCCAGTCCTGTAGCATCATCTTAGATTTGACTGTTGAAGTAAATCGTGTGCCAAACATCCGAAGATTGCTGCTCAAGGTATTCCAAAGGCTTTGCACTTTTTCATCGTCCTCACCTAGAATGACTATATCATCTGCATATTCTAAGTCAACTAGATTATTCCCTAGTAAAAAGTTAGTGCTTGAGTCACTAAGGTCAGCAGTTAGAGTTTTGTCCATTAGTACATCTATGGTGAAATTAGACAGAAGTTGGGAGAGTGGACATCCCTGACGGACACCACTAGTTGTCACCACTTCAGATGATAACTCTCTGTAGTCTCTTACCAGGCTGACAGTATGAGTTTGAGTAGAGTACCTTGTTGAATGTAATGTATTTTCTCGGCATTCTCTTCACATCCAAACATCGCCATAGTACTTCTCGGTCGACAGAATATAGTGCCGTCTTTAGGTCAAGAAATATGACGACTGTTGGACACTGGTAGGTATGCTTATTTTCCAGAATCTGTCAAAAGGTAAATATATGTATGATTAATCCACACTCTTCCTGATCTGAAGCCTACCTGTTTCCCTCGTGTATGTTCTTTCCGAGCACCACTTAGTGCACACATGACTATTGAGTCTAGAACTTCCTATGAGCTTGGATGTCTGTTTTCGGCATTAAGGAGGTTTGGCAAATTAATCAATTCCAGAGACACATTAAGGCTTTAATTTAACTTTTTATCAGACTTTCAAAGTTTCACACCTTATAATTCAAATTTCAGGATAAAACAGGTAATCAGAGCGCTTACTATCCTGAAATACTCTGCTTTCTAATATTCATCTAGATAGAATGTTTAATTATTTTATCACTTTGTAGTCTGCTTGTATTGTAAGAATCTTTTTCCTTCTTGAATATCTTCGACTTTTTTTCTCTCTCTCCCGTTTCTTTTCTTTATTTATTGTTGATGTCCCACTGTTATTCTTATTTTCACATTGACCTGTTTACCTCAGTGTAATGCCTTACATCATAATGCTATTAAAAAGCAATCACAATTCATCATTATCTTCATCGTATATTTGTTGAAATTTTTTCAATGTTATTGTTTTTATTCAGCCTGACATTTATCCACTTGAATAATCGTCTATGCATCATGTGAATAATTAATTATATTAAGCCTATTGAAAGTATTTATTTTCAAATGAAAACAATCTCTTTTTTTATAGGATGTTATGTTATTTCACACTTTTATTAATTCGCTTTCTTCCTTTTATATTATAATAGTAGTTGGCTATTCGAAATGCCTATTTTCTGTAGTCTGTAATCTTTTCATAGCCACATAGAATTAATTTGTTTTAAATAACATTGGCCATCATCATTCCAAGATGATTGTGTTGCTTTCATCTTAACCATTTACTTTGATTAATTTCTCTGTTGTATACATTCATTTTTAATCCTTTTTCTCCTGTTGTGTATATAACGACCACAACAAAGATGCCTATTGTCAAATACGTTTGAATATTATCATGGACTATAAGTCATTGCATTGCAAAAGGATGAAGGAAACAGGATTTCATCATGAGCTGACATTAGTTAGATAACCATTGGAAAACTAGCTGGGAGTACTGGACAGCTGTTTCGTCCTAGTTTAGGACTCTTGATCAGTACTCACCTACCGGGGTTTGAAGCCACAACCTTCTGGTTACAAGGCTAGCAAGCTCATGTACCATTAAGCCACTAGGACCCGATCCAATAGCCCATGAATTCTAACTTCTACTAATTCACAACATAGCGCAACCCCTAGCCAATGTCTTCGGCGAGTATTTGTTCTGACACCTGACGTGCTACACCCTACTGGTCACGACTTCTCACCGGAATCCCAGGTAACTACCTCCCTGAATAGGGCCAGTCGCTAGTGAGCATCTCATCCAATGGTTCTCTAACCAATGTCAGCTCATGATGAAATCCTGTAACCAATCAATCAAATCCCTACAAACCAACACTGGAATATTGATGAGGGAAACGTCTGCTAACTACATTTACTACATGTGATCAGTATTCCGACATATTGTGTATCACATATGATGCAGGTTAGTGAATGGGGTTTATGTATTTACCTTTATATTTTGTTAGCATCGGTCTTAGTATGGTTGATATGACTACCGAAATCATTGAAATCTTCAGTGATTCCGACTATTTCGGTTAGGATTTGGTGTGCTTTTTCTTCTGCTTCCTCACAGGATCTTATATTCGTCAGGTTTGAAGTGAATAACTAATGCTGACAAATATTGACTTAAGTAATTGTTATCTTATTTATAGCAAGTATGTTGTTTGAGTTCTGTAAATCAACATGATATTCTTCATACAGTATATCACTTCTTGTGAAGTCAGAATACAGCATTACTATTCTGGCAAAGACGGTTGCCATCTCTGACTGCAGCGCTCACTGGGTGAAGCGGGTTCAAGTCTCTGGAGGGATATGAGTTCCTTCAAGGTTGAAGATACGCTTTGCTGACGAGTACCAACTAGCACGAAACCTGGGTCGAGCAGAGCTTCCTGCCGATTGCCTCCAAACATCGAATATCATTAAATCAATGTGCATCGTGATGGCTAGCTACCTAGAATGGTGGCCACATTGCAAACCTGACTGATAGAATTCACCCTGTGTCAAAGTAAGGACTAGACACACCACGCTAGTTAGTGGTGTCCAATCAAAGACGAGCAATAGTCGACATCCCGGAGAGTTGTTTCTGTTTATATTCACCTCAAACAACAACTCTGTATGCGTTGCTAATAATAAGTCATGTGAATTGTGAGGAGCAGACATCGATTACTATAACACATACTGACTTGACACTTCCCTATCTATTGGAAAACACTAGAATACGTCTGATTCGATAAACTGGAATATTGCCCTATGATTATGAGGGTATACTTGTGTATTGTGAAACTTGTTGAAGGCTAAAAATACCATACCGTCTGCTAGGTCATAAATTCATTCTATCTTGTAGCATCAAATTGCAATGCTTTACTGTATTTCAGCTTCGAAATAGACTTCCTAACCTTAGACGTAATTGATAAACCATTTCATCTTCTAAAACAAAGTGGAGAGTTTTTTCTTAAAGAAAATGTGCGTCACATCAAATGAAGCATGTTCAGTTAATTTGTTAACAAAGACATATGTGGCAGGCCTTTGGTGTCTTACCTATCTGTTCGGCCTGATATTGCATCAGTAATTGTTTTGTCGTAAGATTCAATTGAAAAATACACTTCTCTCAGGGAATTAATGACGTTCAAACATTGATGACAGGTTTATTTTATTATTATCCCCACACATCTCCACTTCGTTCTGTTTTCTGCTGTCCTCTTCAGCTGGGTCCACGATTGTCCATAATCCCTTATCTCCTCCTTGCACGATCTCCTCCATGTCACTCTCGCACCGATAACCTACTCGTTGCTTCCCATTGGGATTCGACTCGAGGGATAGTCTGCATTGTGCGCGATGTCATTCAACAGTCTCCTCAGCGTGTGTCTGATCCATCTCCATTTTCTCTAGGATATTTATTGAGAATTGGTTCTTGGTTAGTTGGTTTGTTCTCAGCTACAGTCTTCAAATGACATTAACTTTGTCAAATATGCTGATGACCTAACTGTATCTTTACCTGTCAAATGTCAAAGTGACTGCTCTAAACTAAATGGCTTCTTATCGGAAATTAGCCAATGGTCCAAGGAAAACGGTCTAACCTTAAACCCCTCCAAATGCCAAACAGTTAATTTCACCTTTAGGCATAAATCTGACCTAAACAAACTGGTTAGCACTCACGAGGTGTGCAACATAGATGGCAGTGAAATAGAAACCAAGTCGGAAATTAAATACCTAGGCGTCACTCTATCTTCTGATCTTTCCTGGTCGTCTCATATCTTGACGATTTCCAAGAAAATATACCGTCTTACCTTCTACATCAAGAAGTTAAGACATTCTGGTGTAACCCAACCCTTACTCCTACAATTTGTTAACTCCCGTATTCTGCCTATTATTCTCTATTGCTCCCCTTAGTCTTTCCTGGGCTATTGAAGAAAGACTATACCTTATTACGTAGGATGTTAAAGGTTGTCAGCAGGGTAAGCAGTTTGCCACTTAGCCAGCTTGTTAATATTCTGGTGGACAGGCACATGGACTCATGTGAAAAATGGGCGAAATCCATTTTATCTGACTCACAACACCCTCTACATTCACAACTCTCCCCATGTATCTCTTCAGGGAAAACAAGAAGCCTATATAGGAAACTATATGCCCGCACTAGTAAGTACAAAAACTCATCCATACCCTACCTAGCCCGTGTTCTGTGCGATAAAGAATGCATCAGGCATGAAACCTTTAACTTATTAAATAGTCAGTAGAACCAATGGATCTCGTCTTTCCAACTCACATCATTTATAGGTACAACGTTTTCTCGCTCTTCATTCTGTATTTATTTTTGTTATGTGCTGTTTTGTTTCTCTCTTCCTTGCAAACTCTACTTAAAACATTCTTGTTCGTTCTTTCACACTCTGTATATCTCGACCATTTTGCTATCGCTTACGCCAGTAAATATGCTAGTAGTATCTACTTTTCTAACACCTTCAAACACTTTAATTTTGGCTTTGCTACCGACATACTAATATGTTGTTGAGATAACTTTAATCTATGTAGAACTTTATTTATTGTTAATGTAAAAACTGGATGCAATATTGTAGTAAAATGCTGAGAATTCCATTCTGTATCACAAGTACTGATTTGGAATAAAGCTTATGTTATGTTATGTTTCTTATTGCTAATTCGTTCTGGCTGGCCGGCTGGCCATCTGATCGCCAGTATGAAGCCAACGAAGTGGGTAGTTGTTGATAAAAGTCTGTAACTTGTCGGAGATTTTTTTCTTGATACGCAGTGCAAGTTTCTCACCTACATAAAAGAATTGACTGACTGATTTCTCATTTGTGTTGACATATGAATCTTGTTCTTTATCCTATTTATCTTTGCTGTTAATTTACTTATTTGTCAATGTCTACGAATTCGTATTATTAGATATCTAACTAACTAACTAATTAGTTCACAAGCTGTACATCTTTATCTTCATCTACACAGTTGTTTTGTCTTTTTTTTTAATATTCCTTCTATGCCCCTGGTTTGGGATTATTAGCAACAGGTTAACTTTGAAAGTCAGTTAAATGATAAAACGTGTCAAGCTCAAGCTTTTGAAGAAAAATTTGTAAAATTGAAAGAAATTTATGCAAAACTACGTGAAGAACATGTTGTTCTATTAAGAAATGTAAGTTAGATATTCCTGTTTTTCTTTTTTGTCACAAGGTAACTTTTTGTCTTCCTTATTTCTTTCTCCATGATCCAAAATGAAGCTGTTGGTTGACTGACTGACTGACTGGTTTCAACATAGAACTTTGCACAGATGTGCAGCATTTCCAGTTGCCACACTTCACTTAGAATAACAACCAAAGAAGTATAAAGAAATGCAAAACAGAGATAGTAAACAGAGGTATTAGGCAAAAAGAATAGTAATATCGAAGGACCGTATAGTTTTATTGGGTATTATAAGTCACAAGGAGTGGATACATCTGCGCCAGCTATTGAGAACGATTTTGAGCCAATTCACCAATTGTCTCCAGCCGTCATTGGTTCTTACCATCCCGAGGAGCCCAACTAGACAGAAGTCTACACCTCCCTACGTGGGTTGCCGGCTGGCTGGATGGCTTAAACTAACTGTCGTGGAATAAAGTGTTGATTATCCGTATGAAATCCTGTTCTTAGTTTCTGGACTAGTCAGAATTTTACTAGGAATGTTGCATGTTGAATATACGCAAATTACTACTATCACATGATAATGGCGTGCATGACATAAAATTTTCCAAAAAAAAATAACCAGGTTTCTCGTGTTATAACCAACAACAATAATTTAGTAGTAATCAAAATAATAGCTTCATTCCAAACACTTCATATATAGTACATGTGATATAGTTTAGAATTCTTAACATGTACAGTATTGTATTTGATTTTCTCCTTACATGACATAATAATGGGGAAAGTAATTATCAAGGCATTTATATTAATATTAATATCTATAAAAAATTGAATGTAGAATGAAAATTAAAGAGAAGCATTGATAATAACATACTAATAACAGAAGGAATAAAAATGACCGTTTACTTGCTATTTCATTGTAATTGAGTAGTTTCATGCCTGACATCTCTCATCACATAGAATACCTGCCAAACAAGATTTCGTTAAGCTTTTACATATGGTCATCCGAGCGTCAACTCACTTAGAATTCCTTCTAGTTCTGCTGATAAGATCCAAGGAGGAGACTTACGCATGGGGAGGATTCTCAGAATCTAACAAGATGATATTCATGCATTTATTCCATTTAATGAATTTGAGTAAAGCAAGAACAACAGTTTGTGCCGAATAAAACGATACCATCGTTTGTTTCATTGGCTTTTCATCAGCTGCTTACAACTTGGTGACATTATTCCGTATATCTGCAGAAACAATTTTAACATACTTGCACGGACTGAGGTTGACATGTCGGCTTCTTGTGCAGATGCTTCGACGATGTCTGGGCACTTAATTAGAATTTAATTTGTGGATGGTGACTAGCAGTGGAATTCAGGATGCATATTTCAGATTAACATAATAACATCCCAAACAACAATAATAATCATACACAATGGAATCTTTCGGCATTACATAATCAGATGAAAGAGAAGATGAAAACATCCGCTTACGAGGGAAGAAAAGGCCGATAACCGCTTCTTTCTGAATGCGCAAATCGGGTTTCAGGCGTTTGATGAAGATTGCTTTGTCTAGCTTTAGGCGAATAGAACTCTTTTGACTATTGATTATTTTGAACGACTTTTACGACATCCACTTCATGATCCGTATCAAGGAGATACCTTGTGATAGCCAATTTTTTGCATGGGTTCAAGTATTTGTCTACAACAAATACTAACAAGTTGGTTTAATGACATTCCACTCACCTTACCGACAACTTTTATTGCCCTTTGCAGTATATAGCACAGTCTTTCTTAAGTCGCCCAGGAAAGATTAATTAGGAACAATGCAAAAGAAGAGATAGAATACAAGAATTAACAATTTCAATTTTTGTTAACATGAAAATAATCTGAAATAAAAACTTTTAAACATCATTTTCGTAAATTCTTCGTAAAAATTTAACAATTTCCTTCCTTCCTTCTACTCTTTATCAGATTAACGACTAGTCATTCAATGTTTCACTGTTTCTAAAATTAACAATTCGTTTATAATTAATAAAAATAATAGTTGAAGTGAAAAGGTGAAGTCGAATACACAATTTCTCCTAATCGATTAATAACTTTTAAAAAAATAAAAAGAGAAAGAAGCGCGATTGTTTCGTTCTTTTTTTTTTGGTTTCACCAAATTCTCTCTAATTTTTACACTGTCTTCATAGGTGGGCTTTTGGTGACTTAATAAAATGTAGTATTCTAAAATATCCTATAAAAAGGAGGATTTATTATAGAATAATATTAATTATTATTATTATTTAAATTCCTTTATGCATATACGTTTGAGGTAAGAAACAGCGTCTCTTAGATGTCTTAACTGAACACAGTGATTTCGGATTTATTTAAGGTGCATAGTTCAGTTTCTGTTATTTGTTGGTTACAAATAATACTCACTAAATAACATCTTCAATGTAGCTGTTTACCAGTTAACTTTTACTTAAGAAGTTTTAGTATTGAAGAGATTGTAAACCTGGTGTTGTTTAAATTGGAATGTTTACAATTCAGTGAAAATGTTCCAGTAACAACAACACATCTCCACCTTGTTCTATTTGGCACAGTCCTCTTCAGCTAGGCTATAATTGCCCATAATCTCTCGTCTCTTCCGTTAACTCATATGATCTCCTCCATGCCACTCTAAGACTAGCCACTCGTCGGTTTCCATACGGCCAAGCGCGTGACTTCACTTAACGGTCTCCTCAGCATGCTGCGTCTGATCCATCTCCATTTTCTCTAGGATATTTGTTGAGCGATCCGTTTATTGATTGGTTGGTTGGTTTGTTACCAGCCAGAGTTTCTTGTTGGTAATTTTTTCTGACCATTCGATCTTCGATATGGAGCTAGTGAAGTGGGCATCTGTTGATAAAAGTCTGCAGTAGCCTTTAGGAAATGCTTTTCGTGACGTGTAGTGCAATTCTCTGACTGACTGACTGACTTAATATTTGTGTTGAAAATTCGAATCTTGTTTTTTTACTGCCTGAGTGCATAGGATTTCCAAACTGATTTAAGAGTAATTGAGGTTTGTCTTGTCTTTCCGATTATGACTGGTTTTCACTTCTTCATCATTACGGCCTGTGGTTGAAACGATGCTTTCTAGATAAGTGAAGGTAGTAACCTCCTTCAGATTTATTCCTTTAATAATGATTGATGCTTGTCATGGTTGGTTGATTATTCCCAACATCTCTGTTGTTCAAATAAAGCTCATGTCTTTTCTGCTTCTTCTTCCAAGTTGTTGGCTTTTGTCTGTAAGTTTTCGAATTTATGTGATATAGACATAAATGGCCAGAAAAGATCAGCAACAGGATCTCTGGGAGCGAAGCAATCAGGAACCGATTGTGAAACAAATAGACAGGAAGAAATGGAGATGGATTGGCCATACGCTGAGGAAACCATCAAGTGACATCACTAGACAAGCCATCGCTCGAGTGGAACCCGAAAGGGAGGCGGCGAGTTGGTCGTCCAAGGTGACTTGGAGGAGGTCTTGCGAGGAGGAGATGAAAGCATGTGGACAAACCTGGAGCGGGGTGAAAAAGTTGTCAGAAAACCGAAGGCAATGGAGGTGCGCAGCTGAAGCCCTATGTTCCTCTAGGAACTAAAGGATACAATAATAATAATATATAATAATAGACATAAATCGTCTTCGCCGTCCAAATCTTCTAGAGTCTCCTTTTCTGTCCAACGTATTCCTGTCTTCTCACTGCCATGCACACTCTTCTGCGTAATCCTGTCCATCACATTTAAGAATATTATTATAACTCCTGTCTTCATTTTAAAGGTTTCACCGAATTTTCCATTGTGAACTACTTGACATTCGCCATTATCAATATAATTGTTTACAGTGCAGCTGATATATTCGCTAGCTGTTGTTCCAAAGATTCTGAAAGACCGCAATAGCCTTTTCTCAATCATTATCTTTGCCACACATGTTTATCTGTTGTAGTATTGATATGTAGCCACATGATGTGTGTGTTTTATTTTTGACAGTTTGTTATATTTTGCTGTGTATCTGGATCGATATTCCATTATAACTGACAATATGCTTTTGTCTGTCCACTAACTAAATAAACATGTATGACCTTGTTATCACATGACATTACAACCACTCATGTTAAGACTGACTAATTATTGGTTCATGTATATTAGTCATTTTCATATATACTTTTATATTTTCTTGTGTAAACACACCTTTTCGTACATCCCGCCAAATGCAAGATGATGTTACAGGACTGGACTACACTGACTCCTAGATTAGAAATAGGGAGTGAAGTGGTAGAGCACGTTGACCGCTTCACTTATTTGGGAAGTACCATCAGCCAGTGCCAACGGGTTGCTCACTGACGAAATCTCAGCACGAATACAAGGGGCTCGTTTCGCATTTGTTAGTTTACGCCGACTTTGGCGTAGACGAGATGTTCGACTATCGACCAAAGGGCGGGTGTACTGCTCATCAGTCCGCTCCGTCATCCTTTATGGTTGTGAGACGTGGCCACTAAGAGTGGAAGACATGAAAAGACTAGCTGTCTTTGATCATAGGTGCCCGCGCTCTATTTCCCGTGTAAAGTGGCATAATAAGGTGAGCAACATTGAGGTTAGGCGTCGAGTTCTAGTAAACAGGGGAAATCAATCGACGAAGTCGTCAAGTTACAAAGACTGAGATGGTTAGGACATGTGTTACGTATGCCAAGCCATCGCCTCCCTCGACGAGCAATGTTAGCGGATATAGGGTCAGGCTGGAAAAAAGCTAGCGGCGGTCAAACAAAAACTTGGCATCAGTCAATGAAATCCACAACAGTTGGTCTAAGCCACGTAGGACGGTGTAGACTTCCAGGCTGGGGTCCTCGGGACGGTAAAAATCTATGGTTGGAAACAATTGGTGACATGGCTCAAAACCGTTCTCAGTGGCGCAGATGCATCCACTCCCTGTGACTTATGATCTTCAATGAAACTGTTTTGTATCTCTTTATTACTCCTTTGTCTCACACCTCTGCTCACTGTTTCTATTATGCTTTTCTTGTACTTTCTTCTCTTGCTTCGCGTGCTACACGGAATGTGGCGACTTGAACTTCCGCACATTTGTGCAAAGTTCTATGTCGAAAACAGACAGACAGATAGACATCTAAGTACCTTTCCACTCATACACTTGTGTGATATTTCTTTTCCTTGTCTGGAAAACACAAGTATCATCGTAAACCTGGTGGTCTTTTGATTTCTCACTTTCCGCGTCAGGACTATTAACTACTCGACGAGTACATAACAAGTATGATTATGATTTTGTTCTTTTTTTGGTAGTGTATTACCACGAACTTGTGTGAATTTCCACGTGGACTTTTCTTTTACACACACCTGACTGAATGTTCCGCGAAACTAGAGTTATTTGGGTATTAATGGTCATTAAAAAGTAAAAAGTAGATCCCCTGATGTAAAGCGGTATCAAGTATTCATCGATTTCATAAAGCCCATGAATTTACGAGGCCACTGAATCGGGTCCCAGTGGCTCAATGGTCTACGAGCTCGCCGGCCTTGTAACCATAAGGTCCTTGGTTTAAACCCCGCGGTGGGTGCGTACTGCTTGAAGGGTGACAAACTAGGCTGACGAAACAGCTATCCAGTACTCCCAGGTGGTTTTCCAATGGTTATCTAACCGACGGCAGCTCATGGTGAGATCCTTTAACCAAACGGGTCTACCTCTTAGCGACTGAGGGAGTTCACTGTTAAAGAATCTGATACTAAAAGACAACAACTCTTCAATACTTCTCGATCCTGTTTCAACGCAATTATCAAATTTCTTGAACAATTTATTTCACTTCCTGAAATTGTTTTTTTCTGAATACAATGTCCCTTAAACTGTTTAAGAGCCAACACTCATCAGTTGACCGTTATTTTTTATTTCCTGAGTGACGTGATTTTAGAAATCTACTCCCAGTGCATAGATTTCCTCTTTCTCATTGAAATTAATGTCTTACTTATTTCACATACAATTTTCTTTTTATTTGTTTATTTGTTCTAATTTACTACTTATCTAGTATGGGAATGTACAACAAACTTTACAACAAGAAACAGAAAAGAATAAAGATTTAGAAAAAGCACTTGAAGTAAGTTTGTTCTATTTTATTTTTCTTCTTTTTCAGTTTTATTTTTCATCTTGTTATTAAACTGTATTTCAGTAGTATATAATCTGTCTGTATTCAACATAGAACTTTGCACCTATGTGCAGCAGTTCAAGTCGCCACATTCCATGTAGCACACAAAGCAAAAGAAGAAAGTAGAAGAAATGCATAATAGAGACAGTAAACAGAGGTGTGAGACAAAGGAATAGTGATAACGAAGTACAAAACAGTTTCATTGGAAATCATAAGTCACAAGGAGTGGACGCATCTGCACCAGCCATTGAGAACGATTTGGAGCCATATTACCGAATGTCGCCAACCATTGGTTTTTACCGTCCCGAGGACCCCAACCAGTCAGGAAGTCTACACCTTCCTACGTGGCCGGCTTAAACTAACTGTTGTAGATTTCATTGACTGATGAATCCATGTTTTGGTTTGACCGCCGCTGGCTCTTTTCCAGCCTGACCCTATGTTAGCTAACATTGTCCGTCAGTTGAGGGAGGCGATTGACGGCTAGGCACACATGCATAACACATGTCCTGACCATCTCACTCAATCGATGTAACTCCACAACCTCGTCGATTGTCTTCCCCTCCTACCTACTTAGCCCTCGACCGATGCCTCACCTCAATATTCCTCACTTTAATACACCCCTTCACAAGGGAGATGGAATGCAGACATCTATGATCAAAGACAGCTAGCTTTTTCATGTCTTCCACTCTCAATGGCCAGGTCTCACAGCCATAAAGGAGGACAAAGCGGATTGTTTAGCAGTAAACCCACCCTTTTGTCGATAGTCGGATATCACGTCTACTCCTGAGACGGCGTAAACTGGCATATGCGAAACTAGCCCTCTGTATCCGTGCTGAGATTTCGTCAGTGAGCAACCCGTTGGCACTGGCTGATGGTACTTCCCAAATAAGTGAAGCGGTCAACGTGCTCTACCACTTCACCCTATATTTCTAAACTAGGAGTCAGTGTGGTCCAGTCCTGTTACATCATCTTACATTTGACGGGAGCGAGTCAGATGTATTTCTTTTTTTGTTACTATTGATTCGAATCATCTGAAGTTAGGGTAAGCCTATTCTTTTTTTGCTGTTTGTTTAATAGTTCTGTGTTAACACTGTTAATGACGATAACATAAAGATACTTGTCTGAAGAATTAAATTATGTAATCTTGTTAATTCAAATTCATCTGCTTTGTATGTGTCTTTTGGTAAAATAATGAATATTTCTTATCACTTAGAGCTTATATATATATATATATATATATATATATGAATTGCTTTATTTTGGCTTTTTTCGTCTAGTGCAATTATTCTTTCCTGGTTTGTTGCTATTTTTTCTTTCACTGGGATGTAAGGAAAGGCTGTACTGTTTTATCCTAATTACTCGGCTTTTATTATCTCTGAACTGTTTCATCTGTCTTGCTTTAATAGTTTTGTTCAATAATGTATTAAACAGTACAAGTAGAAGTACTTTAAAACTTTATTTTACCAAAAAAAGTAAAGTGATCAAGTCCACGTCCTATACTTGCTTCATTAGAAATTATTCGAAAACGTGATGTCGAGATGTATACAAGAATCTCAATCAAGATGTCTTGTGAAAAATTCTAATGTCTTCGAAGTACTTTTACCCTAACGGGAGGTCATCTGAAGTGATGACGACTAGTTTTGTCCCTCAGAGATGCCCACTGTCTGTTTTGCTGTTGAATTTAATCATTGATGTACTAGTGAAATTAACCCTAACTGATTTTGGCGAATTAGGAATTTACCTGTTACCATCTTATAGTCTTGTTGATGAAGTCCTCTTAGGCGAAGACTCTGTCAAAATTCGGAGTCTTCTGAATACCCTGAGCAGCAATCTTCGATCCGCTCCCGTCAAATTAACGATGATGCTACTAGACTGGAATACATTGATTCCTAGCTTAGAAATAGGGAGTGAAGTGGTAGAGTGTGCTGACTACTTCACTTTTTTAAGAAGTTACACCAACTCTAATGAACTGATTGCTGATGACATTTCAACACGGATAGAATAGTCTGGTATGATATTTAACAACTTGCATCATCCTGGCGCAGATGTGATATCTGACTATTGATCAAAAGATGTGTATACTGAGCTACATTTTACTTTGTCCTTCTTCTTAGCTGTATAACGTCAATGAAATTAGAAGGTATGAAAAGGTTAGCTTTCTTTGATCACATATCTTTGCGTTCTATCTGTCTTTTTAGGTGGTGTAATACGGTGAGTAATATCGAGGTTAGGCGTACAGTGTTAGGCAAAGAGGGCAAATCAATCTATGAGGTTGTGAGAGTGAATCGCTTCAGATGGTTAAGAAATGTGTTGCGCTTAACGAACCATCGCCCTCCTTGTTGAGCAACGTTAAGTGATACAGGATTAAGCTGGGAAAGAGTTAAGTGTAACCAAGTTAGAACTTGGTATCACTGTGTGAAGTCTTTGATAGTTGACCATCCAGTGAAGTGAAGACTGCCTGGTTCATGTCGTCGGGATGCTAAGAACTAATTTCTAGACACTATTGATGATATGATTGAAAATCGTTCTCAGTGATGCAGGTGAATTCATTCTTTGTGATCTCCCATTTCTTTCGGACTCTCTTTCCCCCCATGTTACTATTCTTTTTAAGTCATATTTCTGCTGATTATCTAGGGAACATTGTCTAAACTACAGAAGGAACCGACGAGAATGTCAAATCGAGAATCAGGAAGGCGAGAAACACATTCATCAACCTGAAACCAATCTGGAAATCTTTGCCACTCAGCCAGCATCAACAACAAAATTCGGTCGGATTTTCAATACAAACGCAAAGTCAGTCATCTCTTCTATACGGATCAGAAACTTGGCGGGCGGGTCACAAAGAACAGGTATTTCCAACAGCCTGTTGCAGACCTTCATCAACCGACTACTGTCTTCGCTGGCTCTATACTGAACTGAAGATCAGATGGCCGGGTCGGAAAGAATCACCAACTATGGGAAACTATGGGAACAAACGAAACAAGACAAGAACCAATCGCCAACCAACAAATATGCAGGAGAAAGTGGAGATGGATTGGACACTTACTCGCTGAGGAGGCGGCTGGGTGAGATCGCGTGCGCCTCAGGCCATTGCTCGAGTGGAACCAGGCCGAAAGGGAAACGGCGAGTAGGACGTAAGTGTAAGGATGACATGGAGGAGATCGTGTGAAGAGGAGTTGAGACAGTATGGACTAAGATGGATGCAGGTGAAAAGTACAGCAGAGGGAAGACAGAAGTGGCAAGTGGAGACGTGCATTTGAAGCCCTATGTTCCACTAGGAACCCAAGGGATCAATAATAATAATAATAATCGTACTTTCGAATCTTATATTCTTTTTTTGTCTTACTTTGTGTGCTACATGAAGTCTGGTAACTCGAACCTTTGCACTTCTATGCGAATTTCTAAACTGAAATCAGTCAGACACGGAGGGTCGTGGAGGTTGAATGTGAGACCGCTGCTACTAGATATTCACTAGTTGAATCGTCATGTTCCAGTCGGAGCACAAAGAATATATATATATATATATATATATATATATATATATACGTTTTAGTCTCCTTACAGTTGTTCTCTACATAATACTTTCGTTTTAATTTATTCATTAATGTAAAATTTTTTTCGTTTACAATAAGTGTATTATATGTCTCTTGACTTTACCGTCAATTATCTGTAATAGAAGTGATTAGCCAGTAATAGTGGTACCAGTTGTTATTGTTGTTATGGCAACAGTTTAACACAAACTTCTATTATGACGAAGTGATTGATTGAATATTACAAGAATTTTTGCATTTTTTTTATCACATAGTCTGACTTATATGATTAATTTGTTTCGATAAATATCATATTATTAAATAAATTCATACATAATGAAGTGAAAACTATCACTTACTTATATACATGTGAATAAAAATTGTTATGTCAGGTGTTTAATGCCTGAAATATTCGCATGGTACGATTTTAGTGTCTGGAATTAATTTCAAGACAAATTTCACTACAAAAGCTGCAAAAAACTTGAATGAAGCTATTTCAGAATCCTTAACATTGACACAAATGAATTTATTGGTTGGAGGATTTCATCCTGAGATGACACCCGTTACAGAACCACTGAAAATCCTGGGAGTACTGGACAGCTGTTTCGTCAGCCTAGTTCATCAGTATGCACCCACTAACAGGGGGTTAAAACCAAGGACCTTCTGGTTACAAGGCGAGCTCATAGAGCATTGAGCCACTGGGACCCAGTCCAGTGGTCATTGAATTCTAACTTCTGCCAATTCATGACATAGCGTGACCATTTCGCAATATCTTCTTCGATGAGTTACTGCCTCATCTTCAACCTGCTGTACCCTACTGGTCATGGCTTTCCACTAGAACCCCAGGTCACTGCCTAAATAGGGCCAGTCGCTAGTAAGCATCAGATTAATTCTCAAGTATTCGTTTGGTAGGGCTTTTGTTTGATTGGATGGAGGATTTCATCAAGAGTTGACATCAGTTAGGGTACATACTGATGAAGAGTCTCAAACTAGGGTTAAACAGCTGTCCAGTACTCCCAGGTGGTTTTCCAATGGTTCTCTAACTGATGTCAACTCATGATGAAATCGTCCATACAATCAAACAAAATCCCTATTAAGGCAATGCTTGAAAAACAAATGAATTTATTTCTTAGCGTTTTCCACCCCAATGGAATCTTCAATAATCTTATATGAATTATTTTTTTGCCACGCTTATGCTTGTTCATTGCAGTATGATTACATTTCTGTGATCTTCTTTCTCTATGCCTACGTATTTAAGAGTGTGTTAACTTGAATTTATGCAAATATATATATGCAAAGTATTATGCTGATGTATTATGCTTATAATCTTAGACCATGACTTCGACAGTATACACAAATCTCCATGGGACTACTGTCTTATTGAGAAGGAAGTCATTAGGTTGAAATCCATTATCTTATAAATTGTGAAATTTCGTTAATTCGCTATAAAGAATAAGCTGATTGGTCTAGGGTTAGGTGTTTATACTTTCGAAATATTGAACCAGATTAGAACATCATTCTATTGTTCAGCAATTCTCACTGACACTGTCGTTTGTTATGGTGTGTTGTTTATAAGTGACGTCATTGAAATTATTTACACTATGAATTTCCGATCTGCATTAATTTACATCATCTTCTAAAAATGTTAACAAAATGACATTTTTCTTTAAATGCAAAAATATTCTACTGATGTTAAGCGGTTAAAAGGCAATCGATAAAAAGCCTTGGATCTAGCTTTCATGCCTGTTGGTACTTGATAACAAGGTGTAGGTTCCTACAGCCTTGAGAAAACAAATGCCACCTCGGGGATTTGGACCCGCATCACTCATTGTTGCAGTCAGAGTTACGTTGCCTTTGAGGTATATTCGGGATTCAACTGTTTGTTATGCTAATTCAAAGCGTAACATAATGCCAAGCCATCTAGCCTGATGAATACATTACACTTAACTGAGATAATCCAATCAGTGTTAATATCATGAAATGGACATATGACATTGATTACTCTAACCAATGCATTCCCTTAATAGAATGAGTATGAGTTTTTCATGGGGTTTTTTCTTCGCATTCCCAGTGGAACATAGGGCCTCAAGCTAGTGGCTTGAAGTTTCTGCAGCAGTGTTTATTTTACAGGACGGGTTGCTAGCCTCATGTCCAACCTTTCCTCTTTACCAGCATTATTTCTGGCTTAACGAGGTAAAGGAGTTCGTCGGCCGGGGATTGAACCTCAGACCATGTGAATGGTCGGCGAGCGTGCTAACCGCTGTGCCACCGACTCACATGGTCCATACGAATAATTGGAAATCACGCATATCATTAGTAGCAGTTGCTAGTCAGATCATTTACCTGATAGTCGATTATCTCATTTAAGACCGAGCATATTGGTTGTATTTGGATTGACGCAGCTCAGAGAATCGATTCAGTTCAAACCAACTGAATTGGGGGTAAGGATTATTCAGTTTTACCCACGTAGCCAGTTAAAGTTTGGTTGGTCTCATCTGTTCCAGTCTTGTAAACTGAGTCTGGTACTGAATCACCCAGTCTCGTTACTAAAAAAAACTGCTGGTTGATACGAATGTACTGTAAGTACTCATAGTAGTCAGTGATATATATACGATCGTGCTAGTTACAAAGTTTGTTTTCTGTATTTTTCAAGTGCCTTTTGACCGTATTCGATGTTAAACTTATGACTTCTGTTCTCTGTAAAGAGAGAAGTTTACCTAGCAAACATCATTATGCTTCCAATTAGACAATATGCGTTATAATTAGAATACTGTTTCACCTACTTATAGTTGAACAGTAAGCTGTTTTCATTAATTTTCATTAAATAGGTGTGGTTCTATGTCAAGTTTATCAAAATGTATGTTTTATTGGTTAGTATTGCTTTTGAAGATTATTCAGCTCCTTACTTCGTTTAATATCTTTTACATTATTATTATTTGAACAAAATTCTCATTAAACGGTGAACAGATTTACGAATAATTTTCAAAAGAGTGGATACTGAACAAAGAACATTCTTTTCGATAACTTCATCATCAGTCTATACAGTTATATATACATTATATTGAATGAATAAATTAGTGTTATGAACAACATTAATGTTGCTGTTTAAATAACATCGAATCAATAATATTGATAGAATACAGTTCAATAGCCTCAACATAAAAATAAGCTGAATGTCAGAAAAATTAGGAAACGTAATATTACAAATTCATGAATTTATAGTCTTCACTGAAGGCCGACCAGGGTGACAGTAGTGGTGGCTGGCTGGACTTGCTTCTCCTGCACACATAGCACTGTTTGTTTCACGCGAGTCGTGATAGCCTCTGTTGTTTGGAGCTTGCGGTACCTGAATGTTTTTGGCAGTTTGTTTGGTAGCCGATAGATGACAAAAAAGGATTCTTCAATGCTGGCTGGTTTTGTGGCCGGTTTGTACCAGATGGTCCAATATCGAACTGTTGATGGTTTTAACTACGCCTTTACTTAATCGTACTGGTAGATACTCCCTAGCGAGCACGAAAAACCAAGTTCCTAGAGCAATAGCCGATATAACTCTCTCCACAAGCGCAGATGAATCGGTAGATACAATTTGAAGTGGCTAGCTAGTCTAGGTGCTTCAGCTTTCAGTCGAGGTAACATCATCGGTCGTGTAGAGAATAATACGTGTAGTTGGCCAGGATTAACATTTCTTTGAACTGATTTTCTCAATTTCTTCGTAATTATCTCACTTGGTATATCGCCGTTGAATTGCAGTCGTATATAAAGTGGCTTCTTTTCCGCTTTCTTTGTCATGTGTTTCTTGATAAATTTTTCGGTATAGATATTTTCGATCAAAGTATCATGTACAATACTTAATTCATCTTCAATTACTTCTTCTGAGCATATAGCTCTAACTGTGTGTGGCTGAGAATCTTGACTGAATTTCTTTTTAACTTGAGCGGAACGAAGCTGTGCAGATGTGTATATTGTTCTGTCCATGTACTTTTCCTATGCTAATTTCTTTTTATGCTATCATCTGGTTTTCTTGTAAGGAGGACATCCAGGAAGACACTTAATTCTGTTTTGGGATTCCTCTTCGCAAATGAATTTCATAGCCAAATTTACTTCATTGAATTCAGTTATTATTGTACTCCCATCCGAACCATTATCACACAAAATGAAGGTGTCATCCATATACCAGCAATAAAATGTGAACTTTCTGATAAGGTTGTTCAAAGGTTCATTTTCTAGTTTACTTAGAAAGAAATCAGCCAAAATAGGACCCGATGGGGAGCCCATTGCCATTCCATCCACTTATCTGTGAAGTTTGCCGTCAAATTTGAAATTTACATTCATGGTACACCTTGATAACGATTCTTTTAGGATTTCAATTACTATTAATTCATTTTATTATATTACCAGACAATAGTTTATGCGTTTTCATATTGTTAGTATTACGTCTATTCATCTAATATCTTGTAATTATATAAATATTTACTGCATATATATGCTTAATCATAAAGGCTTATTCACATTTTATACTGTTTATGCGTCAATTTAAACAGTTAATTAACTATTTAGTTTAAGCTTTGTCTACAAACCTATGTGACACATTCATACACAGCGTATGCTTAACTTAAAATACAAAGTGTTCTAATATGCAACTTGGTTAATGGTAACTAGCAGTGCAATCAAATAACCCTGATTTAGGGATTGCTAGTTGGATTTACCTGCATTGCCGGTCAGCCAAGTAACACAATAGTTAGTCCCAAGGCATCGTCCAAGTGCCCATATGAGAGGATTCGAGGAAAACCAAGCGTTTCGGTTCAATGCAGTCACACAGTGTGATATACAAAAGATAATTTATACATATAAATTTATTAAATATCTGTTCTATGCCAACGTGTTTTATAAATGTTACATTAAATGTTACACTATCACTAGCCTATACAGTGCCACATCTCCCTTTAAGTATATAACATATGACTGTCATTCTGGGTGTTTCTGCTAACATCTTGTATTCCTGCGTTTTTCTTTCAGGATCTACGTAACCAAGAGAAATCGTCATCAATAGAGAATGCAGAATCTCTAGTACTATCCGAACAAAAGTATACCAGTTCTGTAGATCAGCTTCAATTAGAATTGAATAGTATCATCGTTGAAAAGGATCATCTCATTCAAGAGGTATGTTTTGCTTTACTATGCACTGTATGCCATCATTATGACTGTTGTCAGCATTTTTTACTATTATTATTGTTTCCTTTAGTTCCTAGAGGAACATAGGGCTTCAATGGCACGTCTTCATTGCGTTCGGTTCTCTGCCAGCGTTTTCGCCTGGCTCAACGTCTGTCCACATGGTTTTATCTCTTCTTCACATGGGCTCCCCCATGTCATCCTCGCACTAACGACCAACTCGCCACTTCCCATTTGGGTTCCCCTCAAGCGATGGCCTGGCGTGTGATGTCACTCACTTGACGGTTTGTTTTCTCAGAGTATGGCCAATCCACCTCCATTTCTTCTTGCATGTTTGTTGCACAATCGGTTCCTGCTGGGTTGGTTCTCTCATTGTCAGAGGTCCCTGTTGCTGATCTTTTCTGGCCCACCACATGATCTTGAGTGGTATTGAGTGAAGACAGCTGTTGATAAAGGTATGTAGTTCGTTCAAAGTGCCCTTCATGACGCGCCAAGTCTCTAATCGTACGCTAGCACTGACTTCACATTGGAGTTGAAAATCTGGATCTTGTTTTTCATGCTGAGTACTGTTGACCTCCACACAGACTTGGGAGTAATGAAAGCTTGCTTTTCTTTTCCGATTCTCGTTACGATATCATTGTCAGTTCCATCCACCTTTAGTTGAAACGATGCTTCCCAGTCAGGTAGGTTGAAACATTATTCATATGACCGCTCATAGTCTTTAAGGTTATTTGACTCAACAGCACTCTTCAATGATGCTAAACTAACTAGAAAAATAATATTAATACACTCTATTATATAAGAAATATGAGAGAGTGAGATGGTTGAGTATATTAATGACGCAGTTTCTTTGTGACTTATAGGCATTTCTATGTATTGTTCAAGCACTTGTAAGCTATTAATGAACAACCTGATTGTTATTTTCAAGTCTGTCGTTCAAGCCCTCTGAGTAAACTATTACAAATTGAATGATGAAAATGATAAATTAGTGGTTAAGTGTCATGAAATTTCACTGAATACAAATATTCCTATTGAGAAATACAACAGGAAATTAATAATGATAACAAATTCGTCACAATTTAACTAGTCTGTATCATCTGAATCAATACTGTGGTAAGCTTCCATGTGAATTCAAATCATTTCTAATGTTACAGCTATGCTCAGCCGATCTATTAAAAAGTGATTTTCCACATAAAGAAGAACAGGAATGTTTGTATAATTTGCATTTCAATAAGTGTAGCGTAATATACCTGTAACATGTACATTGATTTGGTGATATTAGATAGTTGGAGGCAATCGGCAGGAAGCCTTGGACCTAGGTTTTGGGTTAGCTGGCACTCGTACAGTAGTAGTGGATAGTCCTACAGGAGGTCAATCGCGAACCCGAATAGCTCAGCGGTAACGTCTCTGACTTCAGCACTGGGTGACGCGAGTTCTAATCTCAGAAGGGACATGAGTTCCTTCAAGGTTGAAGATGCGCCTTGCTGACTGCTGAGTGCCAACTAGCACGAAACCTAGGTCCAAGACTCCCTGTGGCCGATTGCCTCCAACTATATAATACCATCAAATCAATGTCCACCGTGATGGTAAGCTACCTAGAATGGTGGCCACATTGCAAACTTGACTAATAGAATTCAGTTTGCCCTAAAGAAAGGAATAGACACGTCACACTAGTTACCAGTGTCCAATCAAACCTCTAACATGTATATCACATCAAGTACCTGTAGGACAAATTCAAGATGACCAATAATTTCGTATTATTACTGTTGCCGTTCGCTTGGTTTCCGAGTAGAACACAACAACACATCTCCACTTTGTTCTATTTTCCTCTGACCTCTTTAGCTGGGCTCACGAATCCCCATAGTCTCTCGTCTCCTCCTCAGGCGATCTCCTCTATGTCACCCAACCTACAATGAACTCATTTCCCATTCCAGTTCCACTCCAGCGATAGCTTGGCCCACGATATCATTCAACGGTCTCCTCAGTATGCCGTGTTCAATCCATTTCGATTTTTTCTGGGATATCTATTGAGCAATAGGGTTTTGCATCGTTGGTTTGTTCCCAGCCAGACTTTCTTGTTGCCAATTTTTTCTGACCATTTGATCTTGAATATGGGGTTAGTGAAGGCATCTATTGATAAAAGGCTGCAGCGGCCTGTTAGAAATGCTTTTATTGACGTGTAGTGCAAGTTTCTCACTCAGAAGAAATGACTAATTGACTGATTTAACATTTATGTTGAAAAACTGAATCTTGTTCTGTATTACCGAAACGTTTGCATGATTATATGAGACCTGCAATATCTATTGGACTTTATGAAGCTGTTTCGATTTTTTCCCCAAGAAGGTTAACATCACAGAGTATGCGTCGATGGCACAGCAGTTAGGATGCTCACCCACCATGCACATGGTCCGGGATTCTATCCTTGGCCACAGACGCACTCCTTTTACCTCTCTAAGTCAACAATAAAGCTGGTAAAGGGGAAAGGTTGGGCATGAGACTAGCAATCCCATCCTGTAAAAATAAACTCCAACACTACAGAAACTTCAAGCCCTTAGCATGAAGCCCTATGCTCCACTAGGAACGTGAAGGAATAAAAAAAGTCAACAGGAAATAAGTCTCTGCACGTGTTTAAATATAAGTTGTAGAGGTGTGCGTCCTTGTCGTAAGCAGTAAAATTTTCAGTCAGTATACTTTAAACTCGAGTCGTACTCCACTTACTTCAACCCGAGCAAATAGTTGGTACTGTCGCGTTTAGCTGTTAGCCTGAAGCATAAGAAATCTGTTCTGATTAAATTAAAATTCAAGCATCTGAATAAGAGACGTGTTAATCGTATGCGAGCGTCGGTGGTATAGTGGTTAGGACGCTCGCCAACCATACACATGGTCCGGGGTTCGATCCCCGGCCGACTCACTCCTTTACCTCGCTAAGCCATAAATAATGCCGGTAAAGAGGAAAGGCTGGGCATGAGGCTAGCAACCTCATCCTGTAAAATGAACACTGCTACAGAAACTTGAAGCAACTAACTTGAAGCCCTATGTTCCTCTGGGGAACGTGAAGGAAAAAATTAATTATTAATAATTAATTAATCGTACGCCTAGACAATTTCTAGTATTTTGATTTGACACTAGTAACTAGTGTGATGCGTCTAGTCCTCTCATTGGTGTAGACTGAATTCTATCAGTCTATGCTGACGAGTGCCAACTAGCACGAAACCTAGGTCCAAGGCTTCCTGCCGATTGCCTCCAACCATATAACACCATCAAATTTCTAGTATTGTATATCACTGCTAATATTGACTGTATACTTATTGATTATTAACCAATCAATGTATCTTATTATTATTACTTTTAATCTGACGGTCTAATCTCCTGAAATTTACTCGAAAGGTATATTTTATTTTCATTCTTCTTGTTTGCTTATTGATTCATTCTCAAATATTATTCAGTAGCTTAATTCGATAAAAGAACATCTCTCACTCATCATCCATTATTTTTCGTTACATTGTCATAGAAAAAAGAGAGGAAAAATCACTAGTAAATCATGCATGATGTTAGAAGAAATTCTTTTGTGATGAAAAGATATACCTTTTTATTTCCCGACAGTATTTTTCCCAGATTTGTATATTTATCTGTCTGAAAAGTTAATATACCCTCGATTTTTATTCTTCAAAGAGTTATTCCCAAAAGAGTTGAAATTCTTCATTGAACACTAGGCAGTAACATATGTCATGCGTCTGTCAAGTTTATAGTGCAGCCAACATGTTAGGCAGACCACCATCATGGTTCACTCTCAGTTATTATTGTTAGATGATAGACTGCTAGAAAGACTCTAGACGCACAGCAATAGTTACTATCAAGTATCCAATCAAAGTATCTATCACAGTCCTACAAAAGGTCAATTATGAGCTCGAATAGCTCAGTATTAACCTTTAACCTAACTTACGGGACTGGGTGACTCAGATTCAAATCTCAGAAAAGACACGAGTTCCTTCAAGATTGACGAGATATACCTTAATGACGAGTGACAACAATACACGGGATCTAGACCGTCTGCTCATTACTTTCAAGCATCATATTAGATTTCTATTCTTTAAGGAAATATTTTTTTTTAAACGAAGTCGAGGCATCTTAAGAGGGATTATACAACTTTAAGCTGTTTAATTAATAATTATTCGGTTAAAAATGCCCATTAAAATTTTTTTCAAAAAAATGGTTACTGAACAAAGAATATTCTTTTCGATAAACCCTTCTTCATCACGTTATACAGTTATGTACATATAATAGTCAATAGATTACAATTCGATAACATCAATTTAACAATGCATACTGAATATCAAACAGACAAATTGCGAGAGATAATTATAATACAAATCCATGAATTTATAGTCTCCACTGAAGGCAGTAATAGTGGCTGACTGGACTTGCTTCTTCTCCACACAGAGCACCAGTTGTTTAAGGCGAATGGCGTTGGCCTCTGCTGTCTGGAGTATGCGGCACCTGGATGTTTTTGGCAATTTGTTTGGTAGTCGATAGATGATGAAAGAGAAGGATTCTTCACTGCTGGCTGGGTTTGTGGCTGGTTTGGACCAAGTGGTCTAATATCGAACTATCGATGCTTCTCACCACACCTTTATTTTACCACACTGGAAGGTGTTCCCGGTCGAGCACAAAAAATCAAGTTCCTAGAGCAACAGCCGATATAACTCACTGTACTTCATCTTTCAGTCGAGAAATCACCATTGATCGTGTAGAAAAGAATATTCTTTGTTTAGTAACCATTCTTTTAATAATTAATCGTCTGCAATTTAGTCTTACAGTTTTTGTCTCAATAAATTTTGTTATAGAATATTTTAACTATCAGTTAATTATATGAATAAAATTGAAAATCACTCATTTTATGAGATTATTAATTCTCTAACATTTAACTAACTATTGGTTAAATGAATTTTAAGTGCAATCAATATTGAAAATAGAATAAAAACTGTACAAAA